CTTGCCAGGCAGGCGCTTTTGCCACTGAGCTAAATCCCCAGCCCCCCCACATCTCATTTGAAGTGAGGGATTCCTCTGCTTTTTTTTCCCTCCTCCTCTGCAGATGAGATCTCCTCCTTAACCTCTTGCTGTTGGGAGATGATCATCCATGATCCCAAAGAGAGAGAGAGAGAGACAGAGAGAGAGACAGAGAGAGAGAGGAAAAGAGCCTTTTGACTCATTTGTGATCATGTGCCATTCAGTGTCATGTACTACTCTTATTAGAAGACATCACTTATTTATTAAGTTAAAATTTATTAGAAATGTTTGCTTATCTTGCAGAACACTCACAGAACAAGTTACCCACAACTCAATGTGTATATCTCCAAGTTTATCTATATATCTATCTAAAACTTGGAGAAAATAGTGCCTGGCATATTGTAATTGCTACAAGTTCTCACTTATTATTATCTCTTTACAAAATAATCCCTAGCCTAACATATACTAGCTGATTGATACGAGCTTATTTAATACATGAGTTAATGAAAGAATGCTAGGATTTTATAAAAGAACATCAGTCATTCTCAGAGAGAAAAACAAATGTGTGCATTATCCTCACTATAATAAGTTGGATTATATTCATATATATGAATATATTCATATATATGAATATAATCATAGAATATGAAAATTATATATATATATATATCTTGGTTTGCAAGCATAATTCATTCCAGAAACATGCTTATGACCTAAAGCACTTGTATATCAAAGGAATTTTCCCATAAGAAACTGAAATGATTCATTCCATAATGTCCTCATAATGGGCACCCGACTCCTATTGCAACTGAGTCTTTTATTTTAGTTGATATAGGCCTCAGTTTAAGAAACTACAACATAGAAAACTTAGAATTTCAAAGACAATTACTTATCAGAACGTGTGTTTGATAGAGAGCTTTTATCTGATCTTTTCTTTTGCTAGCCGTTTCGTTTATGTGGACACAGATATCACTTCCCAAACTGAACGCTGAAAGGTTGGCGACCACTTCCTGTTGATACTCACCCATTCATATTTAACTTTATAATACAAGTCAGTGAAAGCAGAATAAATCAGCGAAATTTAAGTACTTCTTTCCCCAGGAAAAATAAAACTGTCACACTGGGTCAGACAGACCAGCATGTTGCTTGGGAAGTCCCAGAGTTGTGCTTTGTGAGGGGTCATGGTTACCTGTACACCTACTACCCCCTCCGGAAATAGGAATGGAACCACTGTTTCTTTCCCCCGTGATAGTCTGCGCTGTCTCCCACCCCCAGAAAATAAATCTTTAAATCGGACAACTGGGGAATGCCGGACGAACATGACGAACATTTTGAGAAAGAACCCTTTTCCTGGTTGGAAATTCTTTTCTTCTTTTCTTCTTGAGGGGTGCTGGGGCCGGAACTCTGGTTCCCCCGCATGCTAAGTGTGAGCTCTACCACCAAGCTACAGCCTCTCACCCCTAAATCACCTTATTTCTTTGGGCTTGTCTGGTTTATGCGCAGGGGAAGGGAAGCCCGGTGTGGTTTATGTTCTGCTATCATTCTTCCCTGACCTGCGGGCATTAAATTTGCAGTTGTTGCTATTTAACATTTATTAAGTGTCTCATGGGCCGGGTGGTTGAGAGCTGCAGTGAAAACAGCTGGCAGGAAACCATTGCTTTAAACAGACGGTGGCTACATGACGCTTGGCTCTGCTCAGTAAATCTCCCGGGAAAGAATCTTTTGCTCACTGCTCAGCCTGGAAACAAGATAAGAAGCCAGAGCCTTCCCTGGCTCCTGCGACCCCACGCCGCCAATCCCACAGAGGAGAAGAGCTGCGTGTGTTGCGGGGCCAAGGGGTGCGTGCCGTGCAGGAGCTGGGGTGGAGGGCAGAAATGGGACTGTAAGAGGCAAAATGGAACCAGGCGGGCAGGGGGCATGCACCAGAGCTGCATTTGCCTCTCAGGTGCAACAGGAGTCGGTGCCTATTAATGAAGCGCTACAGGGCAGGTGGAGTGGAGCGCGCAGGGCCTGATTGCTGAGGACAAGTAATTGGTCTCCCTCCTGGTTTAATGCGCTGCTCTCCCAGATGTTTTTCTGTTGCCATGGTGGCTGGGGCAAGGGTAATGGCCGTGGAGCAGGGAAGAAGAGGCCACAGAAGGCTTTTTGCTCTCTTTTAATGCTGATTATAGGAGCTTCACATTTTTGGTGCATCTGGAGCACTTTGGTAAAGGGTTTTTAAACTTTTCCATCATCTGCATGCAGGCTAGCTTTTATTCACCTCCAAGCCTACAGGAGACCCAGATTATAAAGATAAAGCCATGCCCCAAACAGTGGGGCGGGGAAACCACTTGCTCTTGGAGAAATTAGTGGGGCGGCAGGACGGGGGAGCTTACAAAGGTGGGGAAAAGGTACAGGGAGGAGGGGAGAGGGACAAGACAGGGGGTCTTAATGGGTCACTTGTAGGGAGGTTCATTTGTGTAGGAGCTGCCTTGATCGTAAAATCCTTTAAGGAAATAGCTTGTTGGGGCTGGGGATTTAGCTCAGCGGCAAAGCGCCTGCCTGGCAAGTGGAAGGTCGTGAGTTCGGTTCCCGGTACCGGAGAAAAACCAAAAAAAAACAACAACAAAAAAACGAAATAGCTTGTAAATTTTGGGTTTAAAGTGCTTGTGTAAAAATATATAAGATGAAGATACTCTTCCCCAGTCTAAGTTTTGAGGAGTCAGGAATCTGCAGGAAGCTTCAGGTTCTCACTCAGGAGACAGAGGACATAACCAGCGGCCCATCCGAGGCCCATAATGACGGCAGGAGGCTCCCATCTGCGCCCAGCTTTCCTGGACTAGTGATGCCATTCGGCCTTGCCAATCTGCGGGCAATTACAGCAGGCTGTGCTGCCAGGTGTCTGCTGGCCCTGGTCCCTTGCTGGGGACCAAAGAGGCCTGTGACTGCCAGGGGCCATGTTTGGGGGTCTTCTGCAGCGTGTTTTGCTTTTCAGTGCTTTCTGCATCAGCAAGGGTGCAGCGGGCCGGGCTATCCGCTTGTTTGACGCCACTGTTGCATTTCTCGGGGTCCGTTGGTCTGCCTGCCAAATAAAACAGCTTAAGCCAGGACACTGGGCTCTCATTCCTGCCACATGTTCATTTGGAATCTTGTCTGCATTCGAGCCAGTGTGTAAACTGTCCCTTGCCTCTCACTCCAATCAGCAGCAACCAAAAGCAGATTTGCTAGAAGTTACACTATTATGGTAATGCTAAGTCCAAGAGCTTGGGCTTGAATTTAACCCCAGTGCTGGGCAAACAAGATTAAAACCTACTCATTCATTCATTTATTCATTCATTCAATAAATATTTGCTAGGCATGTGTGAGGCATGGCACTGGCAGGACGAGAGCTGTGAGATGCCGCCACAACGGACAAGATAGAGATGAGCCAGCTCTTCGGGAGCTGTGCTTTAGTTTAATGGGAGAGACAGAGAAACCAGAATCGAAGAGGCGGATTGATCCAGGAGAAACTGTGAAGGCAGCAAGAAGGTGCTGAGCAGAGAACCACAGGACAGATGGGTTTAGTAGAGATGGGTAGGGCCCCCTTGAGGACAGAGTGTGGAGCTGAGACCAGGAGGATGGAAGGGACCCAGCCATTCAAAAGGCCGGGATAAAGGAGGAGCTCCAAGGGGAGCCCTGGATGAAGTAGCCCACATACTACTCCACGACAGGGGACAGCGGCGCAGCCTGGTATTTTGTTGAGGGGGAGCCAAGGAGTAAACCCTCTTGCTTAGCTCTTCTTTGCGTTCCTTTATAACTGTTTTCCTCTTCACATGGATGTAAAATAATAAAGGCACACATCTGATCCAGAGGGAGTGTTCCCTATACTGTCCACATCCCACAGAAAACGTTTCATACCTTAGGACCTCGTTTCAATATGGCGGCCAGGGTTTGTTTGACTTAGAGGTTAATTACTGTTCCCTTCAAACTGTAATGAAGTTATTTCGTTTGTTTGTAAAAGGTCATGTCAGCTGTTGTTGCAGATGGACAAAGCTAACATGCTGTTTATATTTATTCCCCTTTAGGTGAACTGGGTGGTGAAAGCCTCAAAGTGTAAGTCGTTCCCAGCGATTCCAGTCCAGCTCTCTGGTGGAGGTGCAGCTTGGGAGAAGGGAGGGTTGGGGCCTTCGCTGGTGTCTCTGCTCTGATACCTGGCTGGGTTCTCCTGTTTCTGCCCCAGGTCCTGGGAGGAGGGGATGCGCCTGGGCCTCCAAACCTTATCAGGTGGTCTCTGCTCTGAGGAGGAGCTGCTTTATTTGACTTTCACCTGCTCTCAGAAGAATGCCAAGTGCAGAGTAGTTAACTATACTGACCCTGAGTTTGGGTCAAGGATGTTGGTTCATCTATGCTGCTTAAACCAGCAAAGGGGAGGGAAGTGGAGGGTAGAGAAGTAGAGAGGTTAGGAGACAAGGAGGGAAGTGAGGGTGGGTAAGGAGGAGAAAGGGAGAGGGAGAGGGAAAGGGAGGGAGGGAGGGAGGGAGGGAGAGAGAGGGAGAGAGAGAGAGAGAGAGAGAGAGAGAGAGAGGATTCCACCCGGAAGCTGTTGGGGCAATGCCACCCCCATGCCTGCCCCACGCGGCAGCCTCCCTCATTTACAAACTGCCCACTTCCTCTACCCAGTGTGCCACCTACACTTCCGGTCAGGGCCATGGTCCTGCCTTCCCCCACCTCCTGTAAGCAGGGGCCTCTGTCCCGAGGTTTGCACGCTAAGCCCTGGGAGGGGAAGGCTGAAAGTAACAGCTCCACTTCTCCTAGGCAGAAAAGCCTGGGAACTGAGGGAGAGGCGGTGAGAGGAGGTTACTGATGGCGGTCTCTTGCTGCGGGACGCTCATCAAAACCCCAAGGGAGGAGAAGAGAAAATGAGCAAGGCTAAAGCACGTGGCCACTCCCCAGGGCCTTGTGGGGTGCGCTCCATCTTGGGTGAGCCGTCTCCTCGGTTCCCCTTTCAGCTGCCTCTGAGGCTCTGGGCCTTGCACTTTGGAGATCAGGGATAGCCGTAGGTTTGTTTTAAGGTGCAGCCTTTCTTCTCATTAGAGTCTGATAGCCTAACACAGGGCAAGCCCCCGGGCTCTCCCAGGGTCAGATGCTCCAGTCAAGTTCAATTTCCTCAGCGATGAATCTAGACTCTCCCCAAATGAAATGGAGCGCAGACTCATTTCTTTCTTCAACCGGCTTTGCTGTCTCCCTGCAGCCCTATTTTCGAGGAGGACACACCTTCTGTTATGGAAATAGAGATGGAAGAGCTAGATAAGTGGATGAACAGCATGAATAGAAATGGTATGTGGAAACCTACAGTTCTGCTTTCCTCTCTAGTAATAGAAGGTTGTGACAACACTATAAATACCTCAGTGTATTCTGGAGTGGGACAGAGGCCAGTGCCACATTCCACCTTGTGTGTGCAAACAATAAATTTAGGTCTGACCTGTCCTTAAACACCCAGTTTAATTATTGCATCAGGGCTTGTCACTTGTTTTTATTTGTGTGCAAGTTGTTAAAATGATCTCTTTGAAGCAGAAAATTATTCTTTCTTTTTTCTTTTCTTTCTTTCTTTCTTCCTTTCCTTTCCTTTCCTTTCCTTTCCTTTCCTTTCCTTTCCTTTCCTTTCCTTCTTCCTTTCTGTCTTTTCTTTCTTTTCTTTCTCTTCTTTCTACTTCTGGTGTTCAGGATGGGACCCAGGCAAGCACTGTACCATTGAGCTATATCTCCTTCTTGATCTCTCTTCTTTTTCCAAGCAAGGAACTCTGAGACCAAATTTTCTAGAAGAAAAAGCATCTAGCACTACCTTACAGCATTACAGAATTCAGGGATCTATAACTTTAATCTTGATGCACATATAGAACTTTATTAAATATAGCGTATATAGATCTATGCTTGCCATGTGTGGCTATTTAAATTAATTAAATAAAAGCAAAATTTAGTTTTAGTAGCCACATTTTGAGTATTTAGTAACAAACCATGTGGTTACTATGTTGGACAGAATGAATATAGATCATTTCCTCCGCAGTAGATCTATTGGACAGGGCAAATATAGATGGTAATTAAGTATTCTCATATAGAAATTTCCAGTGGATATCTGGCAGTAACTGTAGTATGTCTTCTCTAATTTCCATTGGATCACTGATCGATTTTCTTTAAAAATCAGTGTTATTTTTAATGTTCAAGTTAAATTGATAAATTCCACCCTTTACATTGTGACATCCTTTGTATTTTGAACAATTATCTTCTGAAAGTATCCTGAGGTCTACCCGTTCATTGGTCTACAATGGAGCTTTTTCACACCCAGAAATTTTGTTACTAGAATGAGCTCTCCACTCTACTAATACAACTTCCAACGGTTTTTCGTGTGGATGGGAGAAGAGCTTGGAAAACATTTGGGGTTAGGGGTGGATCGTTGATTTAGTGGTCGAATTTTATTGTTTCTAGTAGAATTTGGGACAAGCAAAAAAGAAGTAGAAGGAAAAAAATTCCACCACCCAGAGGCAATTTATCTTAATATTTTGGTATCTTTCCTTTTGTGTCTGAGATTCTGCATAATGCAAAATTATGATCCTCTTACACTCACTGCAGCCAGGAAGTTGGCAGAAGACATTTCGATTTGACAACTGGTGCAGGCAGTGATTTTGACACACATAGGAGTGCGTCAGTGGGACTGTTTTTTGGTTTTTTTCCCCTTATAAATAATGGCCGGTGTAAAGAAAGAGAGCTCAGCTGTGTATTTTTAGAAGGTGCTTGCTGCCGCACCTTCCTGCTCTCCTCTGCTATGCGATCCGACTGAAATCGCTCTGTAGACACCTGGGGACCAGGCACAGCCGTTTCATTCCAGTGCCTGAAAGGTGCAGATTCTGGCTTTCAGACCAACACTGAGGCTCCGGAGGGACTGAATAAGCAAGTGGTGATGAATTGCGCCCTTTCCCGCAAGGCAGAGGCAAGTTGATGCCTCCTATCTGCGTTTATTGGTGCCTTTTCCATTTCAAGAGCCATGCTATCATTAATCTTTTAACCTCCAGAACTCCCTGGTGGGGCCATTTCTGCGCAGGTAACCATGCAGGTCGGGAAATTTGACGGTCAGCAGTGTCTGTCTTGTGAACAGAAAATCGAATTTCCGTGACTAACAACGAGTTTGCTTTTATTCTGTCCTAGCCGATGGTGAATGTTTGCCTACTCTGAAGGAAGAAAAGGAATCAAATCACAACCCTAGGTATACCCCTAATTTCTGCCATAGAGTGCATGGGGACGGAGGGGAGGTGATGGCAGGCACGGAGGGCCACTTCCTCCTCCCTTTCTCTGCACCTATCAATTTTACACGGCACTTTTCATGGAGGTGCGTGTGTGCAGGGCAGACAAAAGGAAGTAGGAGTTTCAGAAAATATAAAACTATAGGGTTGATTACCTTGGCTCTATGTTTGATAAAGAAAATAGATCTAGATGAAAGTCTCAAGGGGGTTGAAGGGAGGAAGAGGAATCTTTAGAAAGAAACAATTTCTTAAAAACCCACCTGGATTATTATAGGAGAGAAATTAAATGAAAATTTAAAAATACATATTCCATCCTACCACTAGGTGGCTCTGCTCGCTAGAACATTTCAGCGCACTGGGGCTTTGGTGTAATTAGCTGCCCTTGGTGATCTTGCTTAAACGCTCTTCCGTGAGGATAAAGGTGGCTGTGTTTTGGGTGTGTTGGTTGGGACGTGGGATGGGCTCGAAGGAAATGGGGTGAATAATTTAGCAAGCGGCAGATTCGCTGTGCAGGACACTGCCGTCTCGGGGACACCTGGCTGTGGGCAGGTACAGCCAGCCAGTGGATGACCAGGGATCAGAGAATCTGAGCCTGTGGTGGAAATAGGACACTGGCGTTGGAATAAACACAGCTCAGCTTTAGAGCACGAAAAACACCACCCACCTCCTCTCCAACATAATGAGAGGTCTTGCACCAGGAACTGTAAATGCCACCACAGAGCTCCCGAGTCACTGGGAAGTTCCCAAGGCCAGAGCTTTGCAAGTAGAGCCTGATTATTAAACAGCCGAAGGAGGCCATTAGCTGTTTGGCTTTTGGACTCTTTTTCTGCCTCTTCCCCCTAAACCATGCCTAAGACTTCGCCATCCTACCGCTCTCTACTTGTCACAGTACCACAGTTTGATAACAAGGTCTCCATCTTATTGGAGTGTTAAGCCAGTGTGACCTCTCTAGCTATTTATATGTTAACAGTCACCACCGGTTCAGAAAGATTCTACCCGGTTTGAATGAGGTTTATTAACAAGCAGGCCAAAGAAAAATGCTATGAGTATATGACAAAGGACATCACAGAGGAAGTGTTTTCCTCATGTTGTTACCTTACCTAAAAATGAGCCACTAAGCTTCCCCATCCCAGGATTCAGGTCTCCACCCTGATGCACGCCTTGCCGTGGCGTGACACACCTGTCAGTGTGTTTACACACCTGCCTTTTTTTTTTTTTTTTTTGGTTTTGGTTTTTCTCCGGTACCAGGAACTGAACTCACAACCTTGCGCTTGCCAGGCAGGCGCTTTGCCGCTGAGCTAAATCCCCAGCCCCACACCTGCCTTTTTCCCTTTGAAATGACTGGCTACGCGAGAACTTAACCTTACAGAATTGTGTCATGGTGGAGCCTTGTGAAAAATCAGACCTGGGAGAATATTAAGAAATTGATTATTAAAATAAACTGTTGTTCATTTCTACTTGTAAGGCAAGGGGGGAAAAAAGCCTTAAACTATTTGGAGAATTGCTTTATGTGAAATTTTTATCTGTCAAGGGAGCTGTTCCAGTCCTCTGCAGCCCTGGATCTGTCTGACTTTAATTCACAGAGCATTGTCTAGGGCTCGCATCCTTCCACTCCGTGAAGCTGGCACCCGTGTTTCAGAGCTGAGAGGCAGGTCTTTGGGCTACCTCATCGTTCGGATAATCTTTCTTTTCATTTACATTTCTTACTTACATTAAGGATCAGCAAAACATTCACTTTGGATATCTAACCTGGAATAGAATAAGATTTGCTTTTTCACCTAAAAGCTTGAGAATTGCTGGAGATCCAGGTGGGAAGCTCATTGGGCATTGGACCTAGAGGCAAAGGACAGCTTTTCGGTCCTGGTGTGAATGCTTATTAGTTCTTTAGACGAAGGAAAGTCACGTTGGCTCTGAGCTGCCATCTCCGCATCTTAAAAAATGAAAATAAGGACACTTGCCCTTCTAGTTTCATAGGATCGTATGAGAGACTGAAACCACTGTTTAAAATTTAAAGCATCATGCAAATGAAACGAATTCTTTTTATGGCATGGCAATAGTTCTCCCTGCTCTCCCATGGGTTTTTAAAAATATTTTTCTATAGAGCAGTTTTAGGTTCACAGCAAAACTGAGCAGAAAGCACAGAGAATTCCCATATGTCAACAATTTCCTCGTTGTTGGAACTCAATACTCGACACCAACAAATTAAAGGAGAGGTTTATTTTGGTGCATGGTTTTGGAGGTTTCAGCCTAAAGTCAGCTGGCTTTAAGGCAGAAGCCTCATGAGGGAAGGCCTGCTGCTGAGAAAAGCTGCCCACCCCAAGACAGCCCGGAAGCTTCAGCTGAGGGAGGGGCCAGGGAGACGCACACTTCCGGGCCACGTCCCTGCCGACCCGCCTCTTCCGACCAGGCCCCACCTCCTTGCCTCACCTTTAGCTGTAGGGCCCCCATGGTTCAGTCGCATTCCAAAAGCCTTATCTATGCATGCAGGCGTGTTGGAGGGCTGTCTAGATATAAACCATGACAGCAAACATCTGTGTCCTCCATCAGAGGGGTATCTGTGTTATAATTAAGGAGCTTCCATTAACCAGATGCCACTGTCACCCAAAGTTCCTGACTGGCGCTGAGGGGAATGAAATAATTCCCTCTGCAAGTCATCGTTCCTCCTCTCCTAAGCAGTGTGCGGGTGACTTCATGCTTCCGAAAGTAAGTGACAGTCACTGAAGACTGAATTCAGTAGAAAGCACACTTACCCGTTCTCTGCATTAAACAAAGACAGGTTCATTTACAGGGCTCAGCCCACCTTGGTGCTGGAGCTATCTCTGGTATAGAACTCTGTTGTCCATGAAGTCCACCCCACTTCTGGGAAAAGGGGTGGCTCTGATGGGCATGCTGTCCTTAATAGGCCCCACTGTGTGCAAAAACTTCAGCCTGTGACCCTTTGCATGTGAGGCTACGGTGTGCCACTTTCCCATACACCCTGTCCCACGGCCAGCCTTTGTTCATCACCTGCCTTGTCCTTATTAGAGATTTTCTTGAGGTGTAGAACCTAAAATTTATTACAGGATTTTTTTTAGAAGTTCTGGACATCAAACCCAGGGTTTTGTGCATGCCAGGCAAGCAGATGTTTGAGCTGCTACTGAGTTACACTCCCAGCCCTAGCACAGGATTTTTAATAAGGACCAGCTATGTGCAAAATTCTATGGGAAACTTACATAAGGTAAAAAGGCAACAAAGGAGTTGCGGGGGAGGGGCAGGGAGGGCATTTTACTCTTATTTCCTATCTTAGCATTTTCCTGTCATAATTCCCTTTTCTGTCCCTTTGTACAAAGGAATAATGTCAGTGGTGGTAAAGAGACGGTAAGAGAGGTCAGTCCTAGTATTGTAGAGAATTTCATCACGACATTGCTAGCCTTGCCAGGACCTGATAACGCAAAACAGATTGCTTCTTGGATTGATGCTTAATTGTCTACACTCTTTGTAGAAAACACACTCCCTTATTGTGTAATCCCACCCTCCTAGCACCCTTCCAAAATGCCACTAGATAGTGGTACAGAGAGAGAGAGAGTCCCTTTTATCATCGCCCTTTTGGGCCAGCCAGCTTCTTCCTTTCCCCGAGGCACCTCCAGTCATTTCCTGAGAGCTCTGCGTTTCTGTCTGTCCCCTGAGATGAATAACCACACATGAGGCCTTGCAAATATTAGCCAAGCACACGTCTTCTTTGCTCTTCTGTCTCTTGGCCACAGAGATGATTTTATATGGAGCAACAGCACTGAGAAAGATTAGGGAGAGAATTAGACTTGGGTGCATTCAAGAGGATTTATAATTTTCAAACTATAATAATAATAATAACAGTAAAAAGGCATTTACCTAGGGTTTTCTACATGCCAGATGCATAGGTACTATTGCCTAAGAAGTTAAGTCAGAGAAGGTACAAAACGGGATACCTGTTCTTATATAATAATAAGCCTACTGTTCATTCATGTTTCTGAGCTCAGTGGCACTGTAAAAGTGGGTCTCTTCAGTATTCCTCAAGGAAGGCCAGGGAGACAGCTCAGCAGCACAGCGCCTGCCTGGTAAGTGCAAGGCCCTGAGTTTGATTTCTGGTATAAAAAAAAAAAAAGAAACAAAACAAATATCCCTCAAGAAAAGTCCAAATTAGTTTAATTTTGTGAATTTCTTCTCTTTTCTTAGTCTTTTTTTTGTCTTTTTTTGAGACAGGGTCTCACTATGCAGTGCAGGCTGGCCTTGAGCTCACTTTGTAGCCCAGGCTGCTCTTGAACTCACAGAGATCCTCCTGCCTCAGCCTCCCGAGTGCTGGGATTACAGGTGTGTGCCACCATGCCCGGCTTGTCTTTTTTTAAGCAGTAAAATTGTAACTTTAGTTTTACAAAGGATATGTATTGATCAAACCGAACAGAGTGGTATGCCCTGATAGCTCCAGCTATTTGGGAGACTAAGGCAGGAGGATCACTTGAACCCAGGAGTTTAACCCAACCTGCGCAACATAGGGAAACTCCATTTGAAGAAAAAAAAAGATATTTATTGAGAACCTAACATGTGCTTGACAGTGTATCTATCACATCATGATAATCAGTTAAAAATGAAGTAACCCATCTAAGACTTGAAACTCAGAGGGGTTAAGTGATTTGTTAAAGTTTATATGGCACTTTATGATAAAGCCTAATCTAAAGAAGAGTTTCTTTCAAAACTGCATTTTCATTAAAGTTGGAGAGGTATTCTGTAACTAAGAGGACACATTCTAGATTGAAAACCAACAAAGAACACTTGGCAGTAAGAAAGCCAGCCACAAGGAGATAATACGGCAGCTAATGACTTCCACTGGGGCAGTCACCGATGGGGCTTAATTATTAATTACAAGGAAACAGGAGCCTTGTGTGACTTTTTCCCCTCTTTCATTTCAAGTACATTTCTGTGGCCACTTCCGGCTTTTTCTCTGTTGCTG